GCCGGCGCCGGGAGCGGCGAATTCCACGTCTACAAGGCGAGTCGGCGGAGGGAGTATGAGCGGATACGCGGGATGGAGGAGGAGGCGAAGCGGGAGAAGGAGGATGAGGAGTGGGAACGGAGAGAAAGGGAGAGGAGGGAGAGGGATGAGAGGGAACGGGAGAAGAATCGGAGGCGGAGGGAGAAGAAGAAGAAAGGCAATAAGAATAAGGGACAGGGTAAGGGTGGAGATGGGGATGGGGATGGTGGACAGGCTACAAAGGATGGGGTTGAGAAGGCCACAGGTCAGAGGAGTGGAGTCGCTGGGTTGCAGGCGTCTAGGCGGCTAGGACATGAGCATGATGATCGGTCGGCAGACGAGAACGGCGTTGCAGAAAACGGCAGCCGAAGCGGAGGACAGGCTGGTGATGGATCTTCGGAAGCAATCGGGGTTGTCATACATGATGATGATTGAGGGCTTTTCATGATGCATCAAGCGAAATGGTCTTACAAGCGTGGCGTCAAGGCGCGTGCAATAGCAGAGCACAGGTGCTTAGCAGCCCAGAGCACGAGGATGGATGTCCCGCAAGCATTCCCATGATCATATAAAATCCTTAATGACAGCCAAAACACCGCGCTTCAGTCAGCACGAATACCAGTCCAATCTCTAGAACGCTAATGCCACATGACCATCATATTCATATCTTCTACTCCACCAATACCAAATCATCACTGCCCGAACTCTCCTCCCTCTTAGCATCACTCTTACCCCTCCCAACAAGCCGCTCCTCACCTCCCCTATCCCCTATTCCCACAGCAGCAAACCCAGCGAGCGCCCTATCAATCCCACTCGCCCACCTCAAACCCCTCTGCACAGCTACCGGCAACACCGCAAACCACTGCACCCACCCGGCATACGTCGGCATCCTCACAATCCCACCCTCGCCCGCATCAATCAACCCCGTCACAACCTTGACCACCTCCCTCGTATCCAGCACCGGCGCCAGAACCCGACTTGGCGTCTCCACCCCTTTGAATAGAGAGGTATCGATCTGGCCCGGCTCGACGAGGATGGCTTTCACCTTGTGCGAGAGGCTGAGAGCTCGGATCTCGGCGGTCAGGGTGTGGTGCAGGGAGGTTAGGGCGGCTTTGGAGGCGGAGTAGGGGGCTAGATGGATAGTGGGGAGGTGGGTGAGGATTGAGGATGTGGTTACGATGGTGCCGCCGGAGTTGTTCGAGGAGGAGAGGATGGAGGGGAGGAATACGGAGAGGAGGTTGAAATGGGAGGTTAGGTTCGTGGTTAGGGTGGAGGTGAATTGTTGGGTTGTGAGGGAGGGTATAGGGCCGGGCGTGATAAGGGCGGCGATGCAGTTTATGAGGATGGTAGGGTGTGTGTTGAACTAATCGTACCATCAGTTGCTGACATGCAGAGGAGTATGGAGGAATAGAGGCGTACCTCTTTCAAAATCTGATTCTTCACCCGCTCAACCTCCTCTCTCCTCCCAACATCACACTGAAACCAGCGTAGACCCCTCTCCTCCCACTCCTCCCTCTCCGCCCCTTGCCCCGGCACTCTTACATCCAGCACCGCAACCCCCCTCACACCTTTCATGGCATAAACCTCCGCAAACAGCCTGCCCAATCCATTCCCTCCTCCCCCCGCAACAAGCACAACCTCATTCTCCAGACTGACCGTCCTGGCCCTTCCATACGCAAGCCGATGATTCCATATCGCGAGCGTGTGGTAGAGCGTGACGATACAAGCCCAGGAGAACGTGTACACGATTCCGCGGGAGGAGACGGGCCAGTGTCGCGCGAGGAGGCAGAGCGGGATCAGGAAGCAGATGAAGGGGTGGAAGATGGAGCGGTTGAGGATGTGCGAGATCAGGTCGAGGGTGAGATAGTGCGTCCAGGGCTTGGAGGTGGAAGGGGGCAGGTGCGGAGTCGTGGTTATGGTCTGCATTGTCTAGATTGGGTGGATTGTAGATGCGGCCGTAGTGGTGGGCTGTGTGAGTCTAGTGAGCCAGCGTGGTGTGCAAGTTGGGAGGGAAGAGGTGTAAAGATACTGTTCTGGCTATGACTTCTACATGATAATCAACTTCGAAGGATGCTGGCGCCTGGCCGCTCCATGTCTTGTTTTTTGTTTGTTTCATCTTCACTCACTGTTGGAGTTGGGGTTGGAGTTTGGAGTCGCAGCGCAGCTTACCTTCAGAATGGGGGCAGTCAGCGTGGACTTGGGCGCGCTGACCCCCAAACCCGGCCAAGGGTGGTGGGGACTTGCCCAAGCTTCAGGTTGCGACTCAGGCCAAGGCGGACGGTTGAAGCCAAACGGCCAATTGAAATTTCAACTCCGCAGCTGCTCAAGGAGAGCCATTATCTCTCCTGAATAAGGATGTCTCTACAGTAATTATTGATTATTCTATTGTTCAGAGGGTTCTGTATGTCGCGTTACTTCTTAAACGCTTGATTTGGCCCTGATTTTAGCCCTGGATATGGCCCTGCTAGATATGGCTCTGAATATGGCCCTGCTAGAAATAGCCCTAGATATAGCCCTACTGGATATAGCCCTGCTGGATATGAGATGCAGAATGCAAATTTGTAGAAAGAGTGTTAATTTTCTA